TTTGTGTTTGGAAAACGGATAAATACCATCACTGAGAAGAGTTACATTGTAAATACTAGTGATTTTCAGGGGTTTTCGTTCAGTATGGCCTAGTGAGATTAATACATTTTGCTTGCAAAATTGAAGAATGCATTATTTTCTTGACACTGAATTTTTCAGTTTTGCAATGTAATTTCTCTTTACTTAATACTCGCATCTGCCTGCTGGCGAGCTCCTTGCCACTCGCATGATTAGAGTGTTGACTGTCGTTTGAATAAAGCGCCCCCTTGGAATTTACGCCGATCAAATTAAACTACATGTTATATCAAAATAAATTTGCAGAATCACCGATACAAACGGCGAGGGAATACTACAGACCTATCACTGAAGACTGATACATATAATGTATAACGTTTGCTTCACAATCATCAAAACAAAGATCTTCTCCTCTTTTCATACCTGCAAAGTTGTTTACAAAGATGCCATTGTTAACAATTTCGCTGTGTTGAAGCTTGCGGCATTAAAAATACGAAACTCAAACTGCGCTACAAACGTGAATTTTTAGATATGGACCAGGTGGAATGCCACACGAGTCTCTGTAATTGCTAAGTCAATCTGCTCCCATTTCTGCTTGAGGATCTGAGAAGGTCCTCAGTATTCATTTATAAGCTGCTTTGAATTCCTTCGGCGCATTCAACAATGTAGGTATAACGTGTAATGTTAAGTGCTATTTTAAATCTTCAAACTGCACCAGTATAAAGGTTTTATAAAGATTTGTTCAAATGTTTCGGAGGGGGGCAAGTACTTGAGTTCAATAGTCTTACTCCTTCCAGTTTGAAGGAAGATTTCACGATTTGCAATAGCGCCATCTGTCCGTGTTGGTTTCAACGCAGAAACCAGCACGGGTCGGGTATTGTTCACAGCGCCCTCTTGCGTCTTTCATAACTGTGAGCAAGGTACAGTCTGTCGAGTCATGTATTATTAAAGATCGCCTATAAGGAAAACATGTTTTATCTGTTCAAATAAATATGGAAGCATCCAAATCGAATGCAGTGTCATTTGTATTCAGAGTTCAACTTTAAAAAGATTATTTTTTTTCTGTTCATGCCAAGATGCAAATCCTGAATGTAGATTGCGTCATTCAGAGAAATGCATGTAGCCATTGTTTGCCATGCACAAGGGTTTATCCACTACAAACACAGGCTGAGGGTTACCCTCCTGTTGTCTTTTTTCTCTGAATGGCACAATCTACATTCGGAATTTGCGTCTTGACATGAACAGAAAAAAGGTCCTTTTAACCTTGTTATAGTTGAGGTCTGAAGATAAATGACACTGCGTTCGGTTTGGATGCTTCCATATTTATTTTGAAGAGATAAAAATGGGAGAAAAGATGTTTTACTTAAAGGTGCTCTCTAATTTTTACTGAGGAGCGTTGTCAGATGTCACAATCTGACTAGATCTGTACAACTAGTTTATAATAATTCATCCTGTTTATTTGTCACATGCTCTGCATCTGATGGAAAGGTTGAAGTTTTCTTTCTTCATGCCGAGACAATTTGCGTGAGGACTTGCTGACACTGATCACGTTCTGCGTCTGAGAATAGACGACGATATAATTACTAGGCACAACGCATGTGTCTGGATGCAAAACGCTCTCTTTGGTCACCCTTGCCAAATCACGTAGCAAAGTGTTCAGGCAGAAACTTCGGGCGTGGAATACGGAAGTAGGTCAGCAGACATCTTTATTTGAATACTAGATGTTTTACAAAGTGGCACCAAAGTAAAATAATGAACTCAATAAACCAAAGCGACCGCTGCGAATAAAAATCCGGTCAATTATTAACATACACAGAGAAACAACTGTCTGTCAAATGGGTCCTTCTGAGAAAATTTTACCAACACGAATGTGCAGACCCAGATAAATGTTGATCCAAGTGGGCAATAGTTAATCACAGTTCTTCCCTGGATAATGTTTCCCCCGGGATTCTGTCAGAGTAAGACGGTGGTACGCAGTGAAAAAAAAGGAAAAGAAGAAGAGCATGGTGTACGTGAGAAATCTCAGTAAGCCCGGGTGATTGCACTTGTGTAGATTTACTGGAGTAATGAAGCAGGATAAGGAAGAGGGAAAGCCAGGCTGGCCACCTCGTTCCCAGATAAGTTTTCGAGGTATACGACAAGTTGAGATGAAGTAAGACGTTTAGCACTAAAGAAGTCATGTCAATCGTAAGGGTTTGCCACACAGTCTTGCCGCTTGAAAGTCGACTTGGTAAAATAATAATGGACTCGGTGATAGGAGGTGTTAGCAAATAAGACTTGATTTCCATTAAGGGGATTTCCAAAATCATATCCAGTACACTGATGCTCGGCTGTTCCTTTGTAATTGTTGTTATCACATGCTGGTTGAAAGAACTTCGAAAAGTACGAGCATTTGAGCCGTTATAGACTTCTAATTATTCAGGAATAGACTCTTATAATTGAAAGAACTGGTACTATGTTGAAGAAAACATCTTTTGACGTAAAGGTTCGAGCAGAGCCTGCAACATTAAACTTTGCGTCAAAAGAATTATTAGAAAACCTCGGGTTGGACAAGGTTGAGGAGCCAACACTAAATCAAATTTGAAGTGAACTTGACAGATTTGTATGTATTCAAAAATTTACATCAATTAAATTTATAAAATATATTAAGTGAATCTATTGGGTATAAAATCTATTATCTTCCCCTCTAAAATTAATATGATTTCAAATTTTAATCACATCAAATCAGTCTTCACGACAGAATTGCCTTCAATTAACCAAGCTAATATGCGTAATTTGTCCCCGTGTCGAGTTTCCTCTTAGGCCTAACATAAAATTTGTCGAAAAAAAAATCCAAAAGGTTCACAGCAGGCACCAGATGGCGCATTTGATGGGCCTGATGATTATCTTTGTTTTTTTTTTCATAACCCAATTTAATTCTCATTGAATACGTCCATCAGTTACACTGACATCCACTTACCAGGGTGTTAATAGGTTGATGACGTCAGTAAGAAGACTCCTTCCACTTGTTCGGTTTTACAAATCAAGACAAATTTAAAAACCTGTGGTTTCTTTAAAGCAAAACTGTTCAAAACATTTTGACGATGTGGTACCCTATAGTCAAGCAGAAATCAGCGTTTTAACGTTCGCGTAAAGACAAAGATATTCACACAATACAGTTCCCCAAGCTACATTCCCTATGCATTGTAATGAATACAGAGGCTTCCTCTATAATTCCAAACCCTGCTTGGCAGTCATCCCCTCCAATCTCTGTCCAGATTATAGTTATTTCCAGTGGGAACTCATTAACCTTTATATCCAGACATCCTTATTGGTGAGTGTAAGATTGAAGAAAACAGCAGTTAGGAAATCACCCCCAAAATATTTTTTATGTATTATTTCACCAGGAGAGGCGATAGGTTTTGAATGCCGGAGGAACCTTGATTGTGCTGCCAGATGAAAATCGACGATTTATTCTGTGAAATGTTGACTCAGTGTGAGCCTGTATTTAGAAAGAAAGACGACCAGTTTTACAAAAAGACATTTCCATGACCTGTGCCTTTAAGATACTCACATCTTATACAGACTGTTTTCCCCCTTTTCAGTGACGTATTGCCGAGAAACAAATTAGGCAGTGGAAAAATACAGTGGCGAAGGAGGGGATGGACGTCCGCCTACAATGGGAACCGTAGTGTTTTCAAGAGAATATTTTTCAATTCATTTTGTCAACGGGTTGTAAAACTCAGAGACCGTCGAGAAACCAAGATTGAAAAAAAAATGTTTCCCTTTAATACCAACGACAATATTTCGCAAAAGAAGCTGGTCTATGTTATTTAAGATATAATTGGAGAAGTGAGAACCGTGTAAAAACTCAATTGAAAATGTTCAAGTCTTGAAATAAAAATTAGACTGTTATAGTTTGTAATACAATGTTAAAACCAACTGGCAGCTATCAATATTAGTCAAAAAATGCTAGTCTTCTTGTTAGGCTTGTCAGTTGTTTTTGTTTGTTTGGTACGAGCACTCCTTTAAGATCAACCAATTCAAATTCAAAATATTGAATTTGAATAGACACCCACCACGCGAACGACTAATCCGTTCGAACTCCTCCAGATGAAAATATTACAATGACCATAGAATTCAGCTGTATTGGTTTGACCTTTCAACGGTAAGAGCTCTAGCGATGCTTGCTTTGTGGGGCGTTGTGCCATTACAGCTCATTAGTATCATGGTTCTGTCGCGTCATGCGTGATGTCCTTGCATCTTCTTTCGATTAATGATGAACTTCTTATTAAAACCGACACAGACAGTTCGTCTTAGGCAACGGTCGTTGCAATCTGTTGTGGATGGATGGAACTTAAAGGTGTTTGACCCTCTGAAGAAACTGTATCAATGAGTGGTCTTCTCAGTAATTGTTTGCATTGTTTCTACCTGAATATCAAGTATACTACCCGGCCATTTGGCCTTAGTCACCAATGTGAAGGTACACTAGTCATAGACCACGCAGAGCACACTTGCCTATTTCAAGGAGCATAACAATTGCAGCATCGTTTCAGCATCTATACCAAATAACTGCCTATTTAGTGCATGCTATTCAGACATAAACTGGAATCATGTTTCCACCATCCCTGCACTGTGATTAATTTAATAAAATTTATTTAAATAATGATTTAAATAATTGTGCATATAAATTGCATCCACATACCCCATAATAAATATCTATATCATTGCAGTGAAAAATTCTCGGTTGCATCAGGTAAAATTTACAGGAAACCCTGATGGCCATTATGGTCCCTCCTCAGCCATAATCTATTACAGTGGGACTTTACCGCCTATTCAAGATGTGGACGTAGAGAACTTAAGACGCGAGAAACAATGTATAAATAATTGAATACGATGCAGGGCAACTGCTGTGGTGTTCATATGATCGAGAGGATTGATAAAGAAACTGCATGGAGAATACTGAACTGCACAGGTTTGGGTGTTTGCACAGTCCATATAATGGATCGCCCAGAAGTGTGCAATATAAACACCCGTTTGTTTGGGCTCCTCCATAAAAATGCTGATTCAGTACCTCCCGGGAACGGAATTCAAGGCATTAAGATCTGTAGTCTGTGAAGCAAATAGTAAACCTACCTCATAAACAAATTACACAAGTGCTTTAAGCCAGCTAAACCATACAATGGAAAGAGAAGTTAAGGCTCGTGTACTGAGTAAGGAATAAAGTTACATGCTTAACAACGCGGGCGACACTATTATCTTGATATGCGATCAATAATACTGATAACTGACAACCAAACAGTAGAAATGATGTGTAGATTTGTTAACTTGTGTGTATTCAAAGAAAGGGTAATCAGCTTTTTCGTAAGAGGTATAATAATTTACTGGATGTTAGAATGACAGGCCCGTGTATTTATTAATCTATGATCATGGGAACTGATCATTTTATCCACGTGAGGTGGGAAACCGATTGGAGGTTATCTATTGGAGTTTTCTATTTTAGAATATTCACTGGCAATTGAATGCGTCTGTAGAATGTAACTTAACGCGTCAAGATGATGTCATATGGAAAAAGACAAAACAATACGGTTCTCTCACCAGGTTTTGAAATATGAGTGAGATCTTCCATAAATATTTGCTTGACTCTACAGTTTTCCTGACTTTCATCCGATTCCCTTTGGCGGACCGGTATGTTTCTGAAAGACATTTGGACAGTTTGTTATCCGGAAAGACCCCGTCAAGTGAACTTTAAGTACTTTAAGTAGGAGGAGAGATAAAAATAGCACGAGAGAAGAAGCGACACTGGAGAAAAGAGGGGTCATGCGAGAGACGAAAAAGGGGAGCTTGATAAAACTTGACATCCCGTAAATTGATACGATGATGGGATGAAACAGTAGAAGTACAGTCAGCTCATCCCCACGCATTAAAGAAATGGTGAATACATGTAACTATCCAAAAGGACAGCATCCTTCGTCAATTCAATCCATGTAGGACATGTTAATCAGTTGTGATGTCCGCTATTAAACAAAATACGTAATATATAGCAATAACATTGTGAATGGTTTCAACTGGCCCGCTTTCCTTAAAAACAATGTTGCACTGAAATGCCGTTTCGTGCATTAACTTCTGTAAATTTGTAATTGTCAAACTAACTTTTAAAATTTACTTAAACGTAATACAGTCATTTTTTTTACTCAGGTGCACTTGTAATCCGGTATTCATTCAAAAACAACGTAAACTGAAAGTACACACACAAATTCGGTCGTGGGACAAACGAACAACGATACAACCACACAACACAGGTTTAAACCTACTGGGATTGCTGAATGCCATAAGGCAAGTGGTTGACATTTTAGCGAGTCTGCTGATCGATGCTCAGGGATCCAATGCCGCTCAGTTGCGCTTGTGACACGCCGAATATCGCCAGTTGACTTTAAGTCCCGTGGTTCTCCAATGAACTTCAAATATCTTTGTTGACTCCAGGCGTTGTTTTCAAAAAGAAAAATACTCCTGTGACAAGAGAGACTTCATCATTTGCGTCTGAAATGGACGAAAATGAAGATTTTTTGTCCCTGTATTGACAAGTTTTTTATCTTGAAGCGTTTTGATTTGCTCTCTTTGGCAAATACTGAGAACGTGTTTAAGCTACGATGTAGTTTTTGTGCCGACGACAATTTTGTCGCAGTTCATTGCATTTCGGTAATTGTTTCTCATTGCATGACTACGGTCAGGCGAAAAATTACAAGAACTGTAATCAAAATTAAATAAATATGATTTATCTTAAATACATGAATAAAAATTCTTTTGAAAAGTTGCACAGTGACAAAAATAACACTAAAGTACATTGATAACAGAGCTCAACAAGCTGTAGATTCAACCTTGTAAAAATTCAACCAGCGATACAGCAGGAATAGTACAAAGATATTTTACTCCAAAAATAACGGCGCTCTGGCATGAAATTATTCTCAAGGACGGTATAAAGTCAAAATGTCAAGGGTCAGATAGAGCTTGTAGAGAACGAATAAATGCCTCAGTCATGTGAGATCGTGACACCTCGTACAAGTAATGGTGTTTGCGAGTAGTCGTACACCCTTAATAAGATGGGTGTTCGGATCACACAGCAGCAGTCTAGTAACCTGACGCAGCCTGAGGCCGTGCAACATGGTAATTGTAATCTTGGACGTGCTGCTGATAGCTGATGAAGGCAGCGCGTATTATTAGACTCCATGCGTCCAGGGTAGACTGTCGTCGACTCTGGGTATATACTCCATCCATCCAGGGGTATTGACGCCATTGCAGACCTCCCTGCCTTTGGTGCTAAATTGATTGAACTCAAACCTGTTCCATTTGTGCGCAGTTGTTTTCCCTTTGCCATTTAACAGTGTGTCTTTGACTCTAAAAGCTCGTTTCCGCTCACCAATATTGTATCATGTTCACCTAAAGATGTACTTACGACAGTGTTGTTTCAATCATATGGCGAATAATTAATTGGCCTGGGGTCAAGCCTGGTTCAGTAGATGTTATAACGGTAAAGGCCCACCATCATTGGGTCTTACAGGTTATCATTGTGGCAAGCACACTGATAATTACCAAAAGAGGTCCTCAAACACCTCCAAAAGTCCAAAATAATTTCACTGAGCAGGCACCACAAATAATTCGGCTAACAGTTCCGACAAGTAACACTCTGTAATTATATCTTGTTGGTTAAGTTGCAGGAATTCAGACTTCCAATTGAGGTAGAAAAATTACAAGGTACAGGAGAAAATAACTGAACAGTAAACAATATCCAAAAATAGCACTCAATTTTGTGGGTAGGACTGACCTCGCATCGTTGGCAGGCCACTTGTGTGTTTCCATCTTCCATCGTCCAATTTCGTGTGTCTTATCTTTAAATGGGAAAGAAGGCCTTTAGATCTGATGCATGTGAGACCAATTGAGGAGAAGGACAGGTCTTCTGGCCAAATGCACAAAAATCAGCGGCGGAGGCATATCGTTTTGTGCGGCATAATTTGATCAGCATTCAAAGGACTTTAGCGATGCGGCTTGCAAAATGGCGGCAAATTACTAAAAATGTACGCGTGCAAAATAATGACGTAACACGCCCTCTCGGTTTGTAATCTCTGCTTACACAATATCTTGAGTATTAAACTTAGTGATAACATCATGAATACTCAACAATCCGGCCGAAGGGAATTAACTTGAAAAACAGATCTCTCATACAGCACCTGCATCACTTTTTGTCATTGTGAAGGGAGCCTGTTACACGCTGTAAATGAAAAGCATCACTTGATTTATTCAACGCATGCGCGCTTGTCGCAACCCACGCAAAGAATAGTGCTGGTATACGCTTGATAATGGGGAGAGTTGATCACAGTTGTGTTTGTGGTGTCTCTAATAATCCATTTCTTTCAACACTCTCCCAGAAACAAACGACAGTTATGTGTTCTGAAATGGCGTGGCAGTGAATTTACCACAGTTTCTCATTTCCTTCATGATGCAACTTTCCCAGTAAGACCGCCTCTATCGGAGATTGCTTTGTGTAATTCTGGAGGTTTAATTGTCAATTAATTTCCGTAGACTAATTGAGTACATAATGGCATATGTTTGGATTCGTTATTACAGGAATTGTTCCGAACACGGCGTACGCATCGGCGTGAGAGCAGCGAAGGAGCTTACAGCGGAATTACACGGGTACCAGGCAATAGCGGCACTGAACTCGTCGTGACGTCTGTGCCTAGCAACGCAGAGCCCAAATTGAGTTCCCAAGATAATGAAACACCTGACATTAATGCAAATGAGGCTGACATGCCGGACCAGGCGACCAATCAGGAATCAGTTCTGTCTGACGTGGGTCGGTACAGGCGTTCGCGAATGAAGCGCACAAGTAAAGTGAGGCGCTCTGCCAGCACAAGCAGTGCGGATAATTCATCACGCGCAAGTCTATCTACATGTTCAGGCTCGAGTGGCAGCAGCGATCGTTCATGTATAAGTCTGGACAGTGTCGAAGTGAAATCACTCAGAGCGATCGCCTTTGCAAAGAATCCATCTTCTCTTCCACGTTCTCGTTCCGAGACCAGATTCGGACCCAAGGCGCGCACCAGACTCTATAAAAGATCACTCAGACATCAATCTTCAGATAGTGTTGTTGTAATCGGAGGAATGCATCAAGAGAATAAAATCCTCCTTGGCCCGTCAGATGCAACCATGTCGACCACAAGCTCCATTGAGCAAGTGGCAACACCAAAGCCCAAGACCGGCCCTCATCCAAAGAAGAAGATGCTTCGCTCACACAGTGAGTCAGCTATCGATGTCACTATGCTTCGCACTGCCAAGAACAACCTTCAAGACTCTACCAGCAATGTCACTCCCAAGTCAGGCATTGTTTGCTCCAACGAAGACCTCATGAAAATCCTCTCCGATGCCCGTAAACAAAAGGTGACCAGAAGGCGCAACAACACGATCGTCTGTCGCCTCGATGCCACCCCCGAACTACCCCAGGAGCATGCTTCAACTGGAGAGGCCGAGACATGCTTGAATGAGGCTATAGCTGAAGTAGCACCTCTTCCAAAAAGATCTTTGGCGTTGCCCGTTAACAGTTCTCCGCGGTCTTGGGCAACCAGGCACCACAGCATGCGAATTACCAACAACCACACGGCAGAAGATCTGAACACCCGCGCAATGGACTTGCACGACTGGTCTCCTAAACATGCTTTGATTAATTCTAACCAAACCTCTAACGCCAATGCAAACTTCCCGGCCAAGATATTCTCCAGGAGCGAGAAGAGGAACTCTAATGGGTTCTGCCGGAATCGTTCCTACCCAACCACCAATGCCCAGTGCCCCACAGAGCTGGAGCCCATGCTTGGAGAGGTCGAAAGCGACCAAGACGACAACGGTAACATAGTGGACACCGAGAGGGTGAACGAGTCAGCACCTGTCATTAAGAAACACTCGCCTGTTAAATCTACCCCCAGTCCGGTCATCACACCTGAGGTTGAAAATAAGCCCAGCACGAGTACGAGTACAGCACCTAAGACCATCACGTGTACCGGCTTTGACCCGGAGCTGCTCGGCCAGGCAATCGAGCGACACCTGGCTATCGCTAAGGTGAGCCCCACTCATGAGAACAAACCAGAGAGGAGCCGATCTGGTTCCATCAAGAGTATGTGGACTCAAAACCGAATCAGTAATCTTGTGACGCGGTTCCCTTTCCGGAGGGAGAATTCAACAACGGCAGCAGTGTAAAGCCAAATTCCTAAACTGCTGTCATGTAAACATGTCAATGTAAATAAAGGTGTATTCATTTCATGAATATTCTGACGTAAAAGAGTTCGGTTGTTCACATATTACATGCTGTGATATTCATCAATTAAGAAAAAATACATAAAGGCTTCGGAGATTGTTTCCTTTAATGGGCTGTCGAAAAAAAATACATATGTGAAATCCTACTAAATTAAAAAGTTGACTGGCACAAAATAGCACCAGAAATACTTAGCAAGTTTATATTATAAACAAAATAAGCAAAATGAAATGTATATATGAAAAAACCTCCATATTTAATGGTAAGTAGAAGGAGAAAAACACTGTAATAATGGAGACATAAATGAATACAACGTATTGGTTGACAGCTAGATGAAGCAAGGGAATTTTCGAGTACAACGAGGAAGACTTTGACGCACATTTCGCACTTAGCTATAGAAATATTTTGAAAATATTTTATACGAAGTCTAATTACACTAGAATTAGTATAACATACAATTAATCTTCATGAAAACATATGATATTTTTGCACAGTTCTACTCTGTCACCTCTGTATATTTAATTTATCGTCGCTGGGTCGATGCTTAGTAAAATAAGCTTTTTGTCGAATTAGGGAAGTGAATCACTGTAAATGATCACGAATTGCATTCTTACGCAGTTCATGTTATCATCTATAAACAAAAAACCAGCAAAATAATGACACCAAGAATCTGCTGGAAAATACAGGTTTTGACTGAATACAATTTGGCACTTTCAAATGCAGTGCAATCTCCGACTTAAACAGTGTATTGCTTTCAAAGAAATACTTTCTGATACTTCCGTGTTGTGATAGAAACTAGCATCGGCGATTACACCAACAAAATATTTCGTGTCAAAGTAAAACTAAACACCGTTAGTGTGTTGGACTTTTCGTATCGGTCACATTTCATGTGCTTTTGACGAATTGATATTTTATTTTTTAAACGGTTTATTGAAATAAATTAATTGTTCTAGTTTCTCACATAAATGGACTTGCCATATCTGCCACGAGCAAGATGAACTGTGTTAATATTAATGTTAAACAATATTTAATCCATTGAATTCAAATTAAGGTGTAGGCCTACTACTGATGGTATACATAATTATGCCTTTTAGAGCTTGGAGTTTCTCATTGGATTTTGGGTGACATACAAATGATACTATCTGAACTAGCTCAATGTTTGCTTAAAACCACAACTCTCGTGGCAACATTTCACATAAGAATTAGAATTTATCGTTTAGTGGATACTCGAGACATCAGTCACTTTTTACTCTTGAATTGCGTGATTAGTAGAGTGGGCGACGCGTTATGAGTGCATTAATTACCACTTGTGAGAAAATAACCACTAACAATTCAGACACCAATTGATTTCAGTCAAGAGAAGGACTTAAACATTGATTTACAGGCCGATGAATAGCTGTTATTTAGCAGCAAATTTGTGTCTTTGTTTGGTATATGCATCCTCACATAGCCCAAGCAGCGATGAAATTCACACGTTTTGCCATTTTCCTTTGATATCTTATAACTGAAACAAAAACTACGCAATTGATGCTCTACTTTTAATTTCTTTTCCCTTTGCAAAATACTAGCTTTCTGTCTCCTCGAACTTTCTGTCTGAGGCTAAGGTTTGGTCTTGGCCGGAAATACGTACGTGCGCACAAGGTCCTAATAAACCTGTATAAAGCTGTAGCTGTGAGGTTTTTTGTAAACGGCTTTTACAGCATGAAATGGGGACCAAAATACCCTCAATGCAAGTAAATGAAAGCTGTTTTTGAAAAACTGATACATCTACAGGAAAAACTGACAGTGGAGCTGAACTTATATATCTGGTAGTTCTGGTAACAGCAGGTACAACAACTTATGTCAACGTTTTGATCAAAATGTTCATGTCTACAAATGAATTCTCTCTTGACTGTTTGAATGGCTTTATGAGCAGAGCTAAATGTGATAAGCACTTTACTCATTTTTGCCCTTTTTGTTCCATCATGCGGAATCAAAAATAGTACTGACAAAATATTTTGTATAAAATAGTGATTTTTCTTTTTAATTTGACAACTATGAAATCAGTACCGTGTTAGATCATATCTTAATATTGTCATTATTGCTAATGTATGATAGTTTACTTACATTGCATTTATTGTCCTGTTTGATTCATTATCTTGGTGTGACCGAGTGGTAGACTGTTTTGCTCAAGTACCCAATTTTTTCAACCCCAATGGAAGTCACAAAAAGCAAGCATTGTACTGCCATCAGAACATTTTTGCCCTGTTCAGTGTCAATCATAATTTTTTGTACCATCAAGGAAGCGTGTACTCTTGCTATGAACTATGAATAAAACATTGGTAACTGGGTAAAGAAAGTATTTGGGTTTATTTGTTCACTCTGAACTGTTATGATTCTATCTCTGTGTGCACTCGTTTCACATGGTCACAATTACCAGTTCTGATTTCTGAATTAGCTCATGCAATCAGTCAAATCAGAGTAAAATGTACAATATTTATATTTTTCCTTAGGAAGTGATGTCCTATTTGTTCTTTTATATAATTTTCTACTCTTTATCTTAATTAACATTCAATTCTAGGAGGAAGGGAAAGATCTTGGAAGATGAAGTGTATCCTGACCTTTTTTTGTAAGATTATTTGATTTAAAATCAAAGTTTATCTGGAATGTCAGAATGATTTAAGCACAATTACCGCCAGGAGCCACAAGCCGAATATAACGCTTGACATTTCAAATTCAACTTTGAAATATTCCCTGTTTTAAAAGTTAATACGTTCATTACAGCAATTCAGAATTGCTAATTTAGAATCGCAGACACATTGTTATTAAAAACACGAAATTCCATGATACAGAGCTTTTCGACATCTGTCCCCTGAAAAATCACCCGTTCATTAGAAATCAGGCACAAATTGACTTTTGTTTCCTATTTTCTGAGAACTGCTGATCGATAAAGGTAAAACAATTATTTAAAAAATGGAATTAAAAAAATGAAATACGCGACAAACTAATTGATATCAGATACTGAGATTCTCGCAGTCGCAACATACCAATGTGAAACGTGCTAGAGGGAATGAATCTACAGAAGACGGGCACTTACATACTACGTTGGCTATGCGTGCCCGGGAACAACATAAATGCGAAGCTCGCGTGACGGTAGTCACGATCTGACCTCTCTATATACTTAACAGGTACACCAGCCATGACATTATGCATGCAATGTCCTTGCGACATTGTAGCATTGAATCCTGGTAGCAATCAACCATGTGGTTAGATGATCGCTTTTAAACTACTTAGTATTTACCACAAAAAATGATCACCTCCTTCAAAGACAATAATAATGTCCGGAAATCCGTATTCGTTAAGTATAAATCATAGTTTCTTCTTCTGCTTTTGCGGGAGCGTTGTGAGGATGTACATGGAAAAGACTAGAGCTCGTCAGGGCAGAAAAACGACATTACTTCTAGGGGACCCTACAATTTCACACCCTGCTTTCGTGTTTTAACTGCGTCTTCAGCCCTGGCCTGCCATCTTTCGTCACTACTGCCTCTGCGGTTTATTTGCTAGATGTGACGCGCATGTTCTCACTTTTTAAATATCAAATACAGGCGACACCGTCTCAGGTGATCTTAATTCAAAGCCATAATTCTGCTCATTATTTCAAATGGTTGAACAGGACCACTGACACAGATTTTCTCAAGTCTGATTTAAAGTAAAAATTGATGCAGCAATCGCCGTCTCCTCATAACGTTCTTCACGAGGAAAAAATATTTCAATTCCAGCCTATGGCGGGACGTAGACGGTAAACACCCGTCTCATATTACTGAGATGCTCCTTCATATAACCGTTGTCCCGCAGAGCCAAACCCGGCAGTTTCACCCTTTGAACCCCTGAACGCAATCATCTGGCTCAGGTATTGTCATGGTTACGCAAATTGGCCATCCACAACAAATCATCTCGCCGTAGTTTAAGAAGTGTCATTTTCTTTGATTAAAAAATTGGAATGAGTTTGCCCCAAGCTTTGAAACGGTAATTTCAGCGAGTCGACAGAACTGGATACTAGAAATTAAGTAATTACAGAGAACCCGAGGATATATTGAATTGATTTCATTCTAGACTGCTCTCGACATTGCCCACAGCATCTATTGAGCGTCTAGGTAAGCTTGAATATCCTGAAGCACAATACATTAAAACAAAGAAATAAACTGGGACAACAGTGGTCATTAGATATCGCTCTTCTGCGGAGGGTGAAAATTTCTTATCGTTATTGAGGGACTTTAATGCCGTTTTTAAAAAAGATATCTTAGTAGAAGAAATTAAATTAACAGTCACTTTGATGCATATTTCTGTCGGCACTTGCGGACAACCATTTCGTGGATGACGAGAAGAACGACACAGTTAGACCCAAGAATGGACAAACCGATAACCGTGCTTGAGACAAGAAACGCAAGAATAGGGAGGATAGCATTTCCAGAGAAATCCTCAAGTGATGCTTAATCCTTTCAGGGCCCAGCAGTATCGGCACCGAGCGTTCTGACCGTTAGTTGAGATAGAATGCCAGTAACGAGTAAGTGATAATATGAAGGAAAATGTACAATGCACTCGCATTGCTCTTGCCGTCACGACCCGTACAGCCCGTCCATTATCCTTGCAATCTAAGCCCGTCACTGGAGTATATTTATCAAATTAGAGAACGCCTCAGAATGTCTCGTGCATGAGGTTCGCCAGGATGAAGAAATGAGATATGTTTTGGATGATTCACTGGATGACACGAAAGTATGAGGGTCTGTGCATGACGAAGAATAAATACTAAGAAGTAGGATTCAAAGTGGCTATAATAATCTCAAAAAAAAGAGTCGAAGGGTAGATTATAGTTGTCAGTTGCCAACCGATTCGAAACCCCAAGGTCTTCCGCAGGACTGCACATTATTTTAATTTTAATTGTTTCATCCAATAATTTGTTTCAGTATCACGAGCACTTTAATATTTATTCTATTGTACTGTTTTTCTTATTTGGTTCTGCCAGATAGTACTGACTTTCAAAACGATTAAAGAACTTGTATTTTATGTGAAAAATTCAAAGTTTGATAAATTATATTGACAGAAATCCAAACTTCGCGCTTTTTCCAAATGCAGAAATATTTTTACATCTTCTTCATCGTTAATTTTAAGAATGTTTGTCCGTAAACGAAAATTTTGACCAAAAGCCCTAAGACAATGTTTTCATATCAAACTAAGAAAAATAATTCTACAACTAATGTGCTAATGTGCCAGCACTTCACAATTACTAATGTAGCAAATAAAATGTAGCGAGGATAGAATAATAGTCGTGTTGGTTACTAATTAAAAGTAACAAAAGCCAAGGATAATGATAGGCTGTGATATGTTGATAATTCATAGCCTAATAAACTACGGTAAATGAATCAAACACAGGGCTGAATGGCCGATTTCGGATACAGTGGCTGTTTGGAGCAGTTAACTGGCACCGTTTGGTAATTAAAGACCGGCTGACTATACAAGAACAACTTGTTTATCGTTCGCTCTCTTTCCTCGATCTACCTGTCTGGAAAATCTTTGCGAGGAAATATCGATCGGGTGCCTTGCACACAGTCAGGGGAAAATGGGCGCAGGGGCAATCATGGAAGCGTTTGCACAAAAATCAATAGCGCTAACACAGAGCATTTCGGCCAATACAGAATGCCTTGATCTAGGATCGGCCCCAAATGAATCAGATCTTATATTCTTTGTTCCTTTGGTGGTGATTTCCAAGAGCTGAACACGACCCTTGATCAGTGGAACTATTGTGGAATTACATATTAAAACAATGTGAAAATTTTAGTCAACAAAATAATTTTACCTGAGAAATTCACTCGCCCAATCGTGCACATGACTATGTTCATCAAAAAAAGAGAAAACAAGCTCACCTAGGCCGGACTAAATTAGGCCTACAGCAATTAAGTGTGATTTAATCAAATTTTGATTAATCGAATGTAGCTTGCATTTTGTGTGGTAGGATTAATTTTTGAATTATTTATCAGTGCGAATATTTTTGTGAGTTTTAGTGAATCTAGAGTGTAATTTTCGAGCAAAAGTAAACAGTAACTTCTTATGCCGAGGTTCGATGACACTAAAATTGCCCAATCAACGGGGGATTTTTTATAATAAGCCCAAGAGCTAAGAAACTCAAATGTAATTTTAATTTTGTCGTACTCGCTAAAGAAAATACCACCCATATATGTTTTTCTGCAGTTGTTTATACAAACATGCTACCTCGAGAGCAACGCTCTGCATCGTCAACGCTTCTCGTTTTTATAGATTGATTCGACCAGGACTTTTCCCTGTTAGAACATGGTACATGTACCAATATGGCACGCATTATGCGCGCAGCCTGTAAGCGGCATTGTACGGCACCGGAATTATTCAGGCGGCAAACATTATTCACAATTTTAGGAGCATATGGCGGGAAACGACGCGTTAGGGCTGAAATGATATCACTGAGTATTGTCAGTTTTTATGCATATACGACTATGTAAATCACCACAAACTTGTGGGAATTTATGGACATTTCGATAGAACTGTTCTCACAAAAGGAAAACAAAGGAAGGGTGAAAGAATTATGAGGTTGATGTTTGTTGATTCATTTTCTACATTACCGGTACGTATACGATCATGCGACAAAAAATATTGCCATACATCCATCTTCACTACCAATGCACACGCAGATAGCCTCTCTATACTGATGATTAGGATGAAATTTTGACATTAAAGGCATTATGCGGGAAGAGAACGCGTTTTCACAGGCACTTCTCCAATCAGCTATAGATCTGATGAGGTAGGTCATGGCACTAATGCACTTACTACATTCAGGTTATACCAAATGATCATTACCACAAAATATTGGCATTTTGAGAAAGTGGACTAGATAATCCCTAACCAAACAATCAAACCCAATAAACATATCACAAATCAAGACGCAGAAGCTTGATACAGATTTTGGAATCCGCTAACATGTTTACAAAACAAAATATCCCATTACCATTGACACGACAATACCAAATAAAGTACAGAATACCAGAATACGGTCATGGAAAACAAAAAGCACGACACAAAACTGACGACAGATTGATGTCAACCACTGTCTTGAATAAAACAACTTCTTTAAAATAACTTACATAATTATTTATAACATTCATTTTTTAAACTCGTGCTGTTCACACATCCACACTCGTGCTGTTGTAGTCTTGCCTTGTCTTTCCCATTGTCTTTCTCTCGGTCAGGACACAGAAGCCTTTTGATTCACGAAAGCCTAAATGCTGTCCTGTGTGTAATAATATATTATGCTTAATCAGTGTATTTCCTTTT